GAATATTGTTCAAGCATTTGTGGACGGAATCAAAGACCTGGAGGTCAGAGCTGCAGTGAGGCTTCGTCACCATACCTCGCTAAAGGAAGCACTGGCGCATGCTTTAGAGGTCGAGGCTGTTCGCCATGACATACCGCAGACCCCTAAGATCCGCGAGGTCTCTGAGGAAGTCAAGGCTCCTACAAAGAAAAGTTTTGGAGCTATGTGTTACAAGTGCGGCGAGAGGGGCCATCTGCAGCTCAACTGCCCGCAGAAGGAGACCCAGATGGCAAGGATGAAATGGATCGAGGAACAAATAGCGGAGCTGAAGAAGCGAGAGGCTTCGTCCCCTGCCCGGGATCAGGGAAACTAATAAAAGCCAGTACTAAGGGGCGAGTACTGGCTGACGCGGAGGAGGCCCCGATAACTGTTATCTCCCAGGCATGCAGCGGGAATAGCCTTGTGATTCAGGGTACTATTAGTGGGACGGATTGCAAAATGACTCTAGACACAGGAGCCTCTAGAACAATAGTGAACCCTAACTTGGTAAAAGCCGCAAGGGGACTCAAAAGGAGAATTAACTGCCGGCTTCTTACTGCCTCCGGTCAGCCAATACCCGTCCTGGGAGAAATGTCAGTCACGATGTATGTAGGGGGGTCCTCATACTCTCATAACGTCATCGTGGGTGAGATAATGGATGATTGCATCTTGGGTTTGGATTTAATGAGGAAACACAACTGCAGAGTTAATGTCGCTGACGGAGTTTTCAAGTGTGGTGAAGAAGAAATCTTCATTCTTGGAGGCACCTGCGGGAAAGTCGCATGTGTGAAGAAAGTCATTATACCTGGACGAGCGGAAGCTCGGGTGCTGGTGAAACTGCCGCCAAATGGAAAGAAAAAGTCAAACAGATGCGTGTTAATCGAAGACACACCTACCAAGACATCAAACAGCAACAACTACGGATTAGTGACTGAGCTACTCGATGACTGCAAGAGTAATCTGACTTATTCACAGGGCATGAAAGCTAGGAAGTTTTTACAGCGCTACGCGAATATCTTCTCCAGTCAAGAAGGGGACCTTGGAAGAACTTCGATGGTTCAGCACAGGATAGATACCGGAAGCGAAAGACCAATTCGTCAACGAGCAAGACGGATACCAATTGCAAAGGAAAAAGAAGTTGAAGGCCTTTTGGAGGACATGAGAAGGAATAAGATTATTGAACCGTCTACAAGTCCGTGGTGCTCACCTGTTGTGTTAGTGAAGAAGAAAGATGGTAGCACGAGATTTTGTGTGGACTATAGGCGTCTCAATGATGTCACTAAGAAGGACAGTTACCCGTTACCTCGAATCGACGACACTTTGGATACCTTAAGTGGCATGAAATGGTTCTCGACCCTAGACCTGAAATCTGGATACTGGCAGGTGGAAATTCATCCAAAAGACAAGGAGAAGACAGCTTTCTCGACCGGTAAAGGTTTATGGCAATTTAACGTCATGCCCTTCGGATTGTGCAACGCACCTGCCACATTTGAGCGACTCATGGAGTGTGTACTTCTAGGCTTAGTTGGAGAGGCTTGCTTAGTTTACTTAGATGACATCATCATTGTCGGCCGTGACTTCGAGGACCATTTGCGAAACTTGTAGCGAGTTTTCGCCAAAATAGAGGGAGCCAAATTAAAGTTGAACCCGAAAAAGTGTCGTTTATTCAGGAGCAAGGTCAACTATCTCGGCCATGTTATCTCCAATGATGGAATCCAGACAGACCCGGAGAAACTGGAAGCAGTTCAAAAAAATGGCCTACCCCTAAGGACAAAACCAAAGTGCGAGCATTCCTCGGCCTATGCTCATACTACAGGCGTTTTGTTAAAGGATTCTCAGAGATAGCCAAGCCATTACATCGACTGACAGAAGATAAACGACAATTTAGTTGGGATGGGACTTGTGAAGATTCTTTTCAGAAATTGAAGAAACATCTATGTGAAACACACCAATCCTGGGGTATCCACAATCTGAAGGTTAGTTTATAGTCGACACGGATGCAAGCAACACGGCCATTGGAGGGGTGTTATCTCAAAAACAGGGTGAAAGAGAAGTTGTTATCGCATATTTCAGCAAATCTTTATCCAAGCCAGAGAGAAACTACTGTGTGACAAGAAGAGAACTCTTGGCTGTTGTAAAGACACTACAACATTTCAACAAATATCTCATCGGCAGACAGTTTTTACTGCGAACTGATCACGCAGCCTTGAAGTGGCTACTGCAATTCAAGAACCCAGAAGGTCAAGTAGCTCGATGGATTGAACAGCTCCAGGAGTATGACTTCAAGACGGAACACCGCAGTGGAAAGACGCATGGGAATGCCGACGCACTCTCACGAAGGCCGTGTTCAGAAGACTGCAACCATTGCGTCAAACAAGAATCTAATGAAGTAACATTAAAGCTAATGAGAACAAGTCCTTTGGGTCTCTGGGAGAATGATGCTATGAGGGAGGCTCAAGAAAGAGATGACGACCTTCGGCACATCATCACATGGAAGAAACGGGGTGACGTAAAACCAATCTGGAGTGAGGTTGCACACACTGGCGACGACACACAGGCGTACTGGGAGCAATGGGACAGTCTGATACTTCAAAAACGGAATACTCTACCGGAAATGGGAGAAGACTAACGGCAGAGAGTTCCATCTTCAGATAATTGTCCCGAGAACGAGAGTACCAGATGTTCTCCGTGAAATACATGATGGCGTATCAGGAGGTCATCTAGGTGTCAAGAGGACGTTAACAAAAGTGCGAGAACGATTCTACTGGTTGCACTGTCGAGATGATGTACAGGATTGGTGCCGCAAATGTACTACTTGCGCTGCTGTAAAAGGACCACAGACCAGAAGCCGTGGGAACCTGCGGTTGTATAACGTCGGTGCACCGTGGGAACGAATTGTGCAGTTGACGTAGCTGGGCCATTTCCTTTAACGGAGTCGGGAAACAAGTATTTTATGGTCGTCATGGACTACTTCACCAAATGGCCCGAAGTGTTCGCCATACCAAACCAAGAAGCTACAACAGTCGCTTCTAAGTTAGTCGAAGAAGTGATATGTCGCTTTGGTGTGCCTCTAGAAATCCATTCCGATCAGGGCAGGAACTTCGAATCGCAAGTATTCCAGGAAGTGTGTAGAATTTTGGGCATGCATAAGACGAGGACCACCGCGTGCCACCCACAGTCTGATGGAATGGTTGAGAGATTTAACCAGACCCTTGAGAGGCATCTGGCGAAATTGGTAGACGACCAACAAAAGGATTGGGACAAGTATATACCACTCTTCCTTCTGTCGTACCGAACCGCCGAACATGAGAGCATAAAAGCTACCCCGGCGTATGTCAATTACGGTAGAGAACTACGATTACCAGTAGACCTTTTGACAGGAGGGTCACCGAAGGGACCAGAGACCGTACAAGACTATGTCTGCAATTTAAGAAAAAAAAATGCGCTATATACACGCCTTGGTTCGGGAAAATGGGTTACAGTCAAGTGAGAACATGAAAACCAGATACGACCGGAAATCGAACACGGACGGCTTCGAGGAAGGGTCACTGGTGTGGCTGCATTACCCAACTCGTCGGAAAGGGAAATCCCCAAAGTTGCAGACCAAGTGGGACGGTCCATACAAAGTGGTTACCCGACTGAATGATGTGACTTATAGGATTCAAAAGCAACCAAGAGGGACATTCAAAGTGGTACACATAGACCGTCTGGCGCGTTACCATGGCAGTAACAATGATGCTCGGGACGAGCATCTCTAAGAGGGGAGTAGTGTTATGAACACACAAAGGAACGAACGCCATCTAGCGTCAACTATTAAAACCACTAAAGAACAAAGACGACATAAAACCCCCTATTCAACACTAGATGGCGTTAGAGGAACTGCTGTGGAACTATAGTCTCGAAAACCGTTTACATTCGCGAACTTTCCGGAATCACGAACATGTTCGTGCGTGTCGGGTACGTTCCAGGAATGATCTTTCTGGATTAGTCTGGAACCGGTCTCGGCCCATATAAAATGCCGCAGGGAGGCGAGCGATGACAGTTCAGTTTGAGCTACCTTCGAGACGACTTCGGAGCGAAAACTAGTGATCAAGAGCGATACCAGTGAAACCTACGACTTGGCTACAAAACAGGACACCATTAGTGCTTAGTGTTTGGACCTAGTGCTTTGTGTTGGACCTAGTGCTATTGAATAAAGTCTTCAAAAGAGTCAGCAGGTCTTTCTCTCCAAATCCTTCGAACCCCTAACACGTAACAGTATATTAGTAATTATAATTAAATAAAAATCAAATTATGTTAACACATATTACACAATAAATCCATATGAAAATTAAACCATGAAAAATAAAGAAAGATAATAAGTTTTTAAACTTGTCCTATAATTTTATATTAATATTTGCTGTGCTTACTATAGCTGTAGATAAAGAAATGAATGTATTTCCAAGTGACGTCAAAATGGACATTTTCATTGTAACTATTTCAAAAATTTTACTTACTTTGTTTTCACTCCATTATACCACTCTGTCTCAAATAGATAATAAAGAGTAAATTACTACTTTCCATACACCAAGGAATACACACCTGTTTAATACATTCTACTATGTTGTGCTGAAGGTCTACATCAAGTTCCTTTATTCTTGTTATGAATATTTCTTTATTAGGGCATTGGACAGCAGCACCAAGTAAAAGCAGTAACAGAAGCTTCATATTTTCCAAGCCATCTCTAGATTCAGGTGCTTTTCCTAGGCAAATGCATTCTGGCACTACAAGAAGTGTCATACCCAGCTCTTCATCATACAAGCTTTTGACATTTTTTACTATAGCATCAAAATTTTTTACTCTGCCAAGTATCAATGCTTGATCTTCTAATCCAGCCAGTTTTGTAATATGATAAGATGGTTCTGGATCTATCTGGAGGTACAACTGATGGAGGATGTCTCCATTGAATAGTGATGCATAATCTTTGACAGTCTCCGGATTTGAAAGACATGATTTTAACTGAAAAGTTTTAAAAAGAAAAAGATCTATGATAAAATTATATTATTCTCTATCTTATAAAATAATTATTCACCTCTCATATTGTTGATATAAAAAGTTATCTAAATAACTTGGAATTGTAAGTGGAAACCTTTTACAGGATTTGAAGAAGCAATTTTATAACAAATGTTCTAAAGATTTTAAGGGACTAAAATACATAATTGTAAATTGTGTTATTAGAATAATAACTGAAATGTGCAATTAATTTATTGATTCAAAGCATGTTATTAAAAAAACTATATGTACATTATTATTATTTAAAATGTGTAAAAAAAAAGTGTATAATTTTGCCCTATAAAAATATAACATTAACTAAATCAAAACTCCAATAGTGAAAGTTTAGGATTCATCATTCTATTATAGTATACACATTTAGAAATCAGAAAATCTAGATTAACCCAATGTATGTATGTCAAGTATGGGAACCAGTATTATGCAGCATAACTGCACTTGCATTAATCTCTTACCATTTTTCATCTCCTGTTATATCTTTATTTTCGAAATAAATAATCAATAATGGGGGTCTAGATGTTACATATTTCTAATATATTCACATTATTTTTACTTTCATATAAAATATAATGTAAAGTAGCCCATCACTTATACTTAAATCAACAAATAAATTAACGAATCACTAAACTTATAAATTCTTTTTTGGAAACCTCAATTTTTACTTTTGAATAAGCGTTTCAATGTGTAACTCGGTCGGTTAAATACGGATTCAATCAGCTGGAACGTACGGTGAAGATAATCCCACGGTTCAATATAGTTTACGATCACGGATGGCTGTGCACTTACCCATGAAACCAGGGGTCCGTTCAAGAAGTCTTCAATTTCGGCACCTGATGCAGCCATTCTCGCCAATCGTTAGGATGAACAAAACCTACCTCTACGATCGTGACCGCAGAACATGGCATTGAAAAAATTCGAGAAGCCGAAACGTGATGAAAATCTGTTAAACATCTGCGACAAAATATAAAGAACCCTAAACAGTCTTGTGCGAACACCGTGACACTTACACTCCAAGCGAATTGACAAGTTGTTGACACTGGCTGGTGCTTAATTGTAATTTGTAATTGTATATAGATCAAAGCAAAGATATAGATTGTCAAATATACATAAGACTAGATTCCATAGTATACATCGTGGCTTATTTTATAAAAATAGTTTCATATCGTATTTACTTTAATTTTCAGCAAGACATGAAAAACAATATCAATAAATTATTTTAGGTTTTTTTCCCATTAGCTCATAAAAATAGGGGGAGGTCGTCAACTTTAATCTTCGTTAGTGTTTTGTTTCTGAAACAATCTGTTTCGAATCGAATTTATCGATATAACAATTGAATGAAAGGATAAATATTGAAATATTTCATCAATACTCCGCACCTAGGTGGGGTGTTATTTGTAACACAGTAACGGCGGAAATGACGTGGGATAAGGTTGAAGCAAGCGGAGACAGCGGCTGAGACTGCCGTTATGGCCGTTGAGATCACTACGACACTGATGACGGCAGAAGGAGGTAAGGAACGTGGGACCCTCGTCCCTCTCTGGCTCTGAGGTGCAAGGTAAATAAGACCCATTCGGGTAGAAACTTAAAATTAAGATCTCTAAATATAGTCGTGGCAAAGGACCTGATATAATACTGGCCATTCGCCATAAATGTAAACATTGTTTTTAAAATTATTCTTTTGGATGTTCCTTATTACTGACACAATTGTTCTTACGTATGTATAATTTATATTAATATTTTCTGCTTAATAAAACCTATATATAACCTAATATAAAATTACTAGGTTTTGTATTATTTATCAATTTATTAAGCAGAAGGAATCAACAATTCAATAAAATAATTCTCAAGAAGTATGGAGAGATTTTTAAGACCAGAGAAATTTGAAACCGATTCTTCATCTGCTACCGCAGCACAAGAATGGAGACATTGGTATATAACTTTTGAAAATTTTTTGGCTATAAATGATGTTAAAGATGAAAAAGCAAGATTGCAACTTCTGATTAATCATCTATCATCAAAAGTTTATGAATATATATGTCATTGTGTTAGCTACAAAGATGCGATCAATAATTTAGAGCTTGCATTCGTCAAACCAAAAAATATAATTTTTGCAAGACACAAGCTTATCACCTCAAAACAAGAAAACGGGGAAACGATTCAACAGTTTATACATAAATTAAAACGACAAAGTCTAGAATGTGAATTTACATCAGTGTCTGCTGAAAAATATAAAGAAGAGTATATAAGAGACGCCTTCATTTCTGGTATTTCATGTAATAATATCAGACAGAGATTATTAGAAAATTTATCACTTTCTTTAGATGAAGCATATAACAAAGCAGTATCATTGGAGCTAGCGAAGTCTACTGCTCAAGAATATCAGATCAATCCAATAAATGCTTCGCAATCACAAACTCATGTTAAAAATCATGAGTTTTCGTCGGCTTATCAGAAAACTTTATACAATCGAAAGAAATGTTTTTTTTGTGGCAGAAATATACACTTGCGTTCAAATTGCCCTGCAAGGAATGCGATTTGTAAAATATGTGATAAAAAGGGACATTGGGCCAAAGCATGTCGTAATTCAAAAAAATCTGTAAATGCCGCAATGGAAATAGATGAAATGGACGCTGTAGCTTCTGTCATAGCTGCATCACCTGCATGCCTCGGTAAAGCAATTGTAACTATAAAAATAAAGGGGGTAAATGCTCAGGCTTTAATCGATTCAGGAAGTTCTAGAAGCTACATTAATAGTTTATTTTTTGATCGCTGTTGTCTAATAAAAGAAGAATGTTCAGAGAAAGTGACAATGGCTACGACTAATTATACATCGAATGTAGAAGGCCTGTGTATTACGTCAATAAGCATAGGAAATCACATTTATAAAAATATAAAATTACTTATTGTAAAACATTTATGTGCGGATATTATTATTGGTCATGATGTATTAACTCAACATTGCAAAGTTCAATTAAATTTTGGTGGTCCAAGAGCAAAACTTGAAATTTGCGGAGTAAACCGCACCTATGATTCCTCCAGTATTCAATTTTTCCTAACTTATCGTCGATCTGTAAACCTATAGTCACAAATCTAGACGTTTTTTCTAAAGACGATTTAAAATTAATTGCTAATGAAATTCAGGAATTATTATTAAATGGTATATTGAAGAAAGCAGATCTCCATGGAGAGCTCAAGTTCTTGTAATAGAAAATGATAATCATAAAAAGCGTCTTTGCATTGATTATTCACAAACTATCAACAAATATACTTACTTGGACGCTTACCCATTGCCAAATATAGAGACAATTGTACAAGATATTGCTAAGTACGAATTATTCTCAAAGATTGACTTAAAAAAGCGCGTATCACCAAATTCCGATCCTTGATACGGAAAAACCATTAACTGCTTTTGAAGCAGTCGGAAATTTATATCAATTTTGTAGAATCCCATTTGGAGTTACTAATGGTGTAAGTAGCTTTCAGAGAACTATAGACTGGATAATACGAACGGAAAATCTACAATCTACGTTCGCCTATCTAGATGATGTTACCGTATGTGGTAAGAATAAAGAAGACCATGACTATAATCTTGAGAAGTTTGTCTGCTGTCAAAAAGTACAATCTTACTATAAATGAGAAAAAATGTACATTTTCAATTAAAAATATTTCTATTCTTGGATATAACATTAATAATAAAATGATCACTCCAGATTTAGAAAGAATCAAACCTCTACAAAATTTGCCTATTCCAACGGATGCTGCTTCGTTAAGAAGGACAGTAGGAATGTTTTCACATTATTCTAAATGGATACCGAAATTTTCCGAAAAGATTCGAATTATTATTAATAACAATGATTTTCCATTGAACAATGATGCAGTAAAAAACGCTTTCGAAAGTTTAAAACAAGAAATAATTAAGTCATCTGTTCATGCCATTGAGAGCAAAAATCCCATTCACTGTCGAAACAGATGCATCAAATTTCGCAATCGGAGCGACACTTTCACAGGAAGGGAGACCTGTTGCTTTCTTTTCAAGATCACTCAAGGAGTGTGAAAGAAAAACACTCTGCAATTGAAAAAGAAGCATATGCCATTGTAGAATATGTCCGTAAGTGGAGGCATTTTCTAATAGGACGAGAATTTCGTTTAATAACTGATCAAAAATCGCTATCATTCATGTTTAACACCAAGCATAATAGTAAAATTAAAAATGACAAGATTATGAGGTGGCGCCTGGAGCTCTTTTGTTTTAAATATGACATTATATATCGACCTGGGAAAGAAAATGTTGCAGCGGATGCACTATCTCGAATGTGTGCATCTGTTCATACAGAACCTAAACTATTTTCTTTACATGAATCGCTTTGTCATCCTGGAGTCACTCGAATGTTTCATTGGGTGCGATCTAAAAACTTACCATACAGCATTGATAATATACGACAAATGACACGTGGCTGTAAAATCTGTGCAGAAGTAAAACCTAAATTTTCTAACAGCCGTGGAATATTAATAAAAGCTACAAGTGTATTTGAAAGATTAAACATAGATTTTAAAGGACCCCTACCCACAAATTCAAAAAATCAGTATCTACTCACTATTATAGACGAATATTCAAGATTTCCGTTCGCATACCCCTGTGAAGACACATCTACATCGAGTATTATTAAGTGTTTGACAAACTTATTTTCTATATTCGGCATACCCTCATACATACATTCTGATAGAGGATCATCATTTATGTCCCATGATTTAAAAATCTTTTTACAAAGTAAAGGTATAGCTACAAGTCGAACAACATCGTATAACCCGCAAGGAAATGGGCAGGTGGAACGATTTAATGGCACGTTGTGGAACAATGCAATTGGCTTTAAAAAAACAAAAAATACGATATAAGCCAATGGGAGAGGGTATTGGATCAGTCAATGCATTAAATAATAATTCGATTCGATGCATTAAGTAATAATTCGATTAGATCATTACTTTGTACAGCTACTAATGTAACACCTCATGAAAGAATGTTCAGGCATAATCGAAGATGTGAAAAAACGGTGCAACATTACCATCGTGGTTGATGGTGCCAGGGCCAGTGTTTATGAAAAAGCATAATCGAGCTTCAAAATATTCACCTGTAGTCGAGGAGGTAGAGCTATTACAATCAAATCCTGACTTTTCATATGTCCGTTTACCTGATGGAAGGGAAGAGACGGTATCTAACAGACATCTAGCGCCTCTAGATTCGTCGGGTTTATCGAAAATACTATGGAAATTGAAGAAAATAATAATCAAATAGATCTGCCAAGTGGAAATATACTGATATAATACTGGCCATTCGCCATAAATGTAAACATTGTTTTTAAAATTATTCTTTTGGATGTTCCTTATTACTGACACAATTGTTCTTACGTATGTATAATTTATATTAATATTTTCTGCTTAATAAAACCTATATATAACCTAATATAAAATTACTAGGTTTTGTATTATTTATCAATTTATTAAGCAGAAGGAATCAACAATTCAATAAAATAATTCTCAAGAAGTATGGAGAGATTTTTTAAGACCAGAGAAATTTGAAACCGATTCTTCATCTGCTACCGCGGCACAAGAATGGAGACATTGGTATATAACTTTTGAAAATTTTTTGGCTATAAATAATGTTAAAGATGAAAAAGCAAGATTGCAACTTCTGATTAATCATCTATCATCAAAAGTTTATGAATATATATGTCATTGTGTTAGCTACAAAGATGCGATCAATAATTTAGAGCTTGCATTCGTCAAACCAAAAAATATAATTTTTGCAAGACACAAGCTTATCACCTCAAAACAAGAAAACGGGGAAA